ACTTGGATGAGCGGGTGGTGTAATGGATAAGGGCTTGGAATGAGAAATCGGTGGGCAGAGTTCGAATTCCAGCCGGTTTTATTATATTCGCTTATGTGCAAATTCCCCTGTATTCTTGTAATACGCAAGTATGTTACAGCTTTCAACAACCTTAAAAACGTTGATAAGTCATAAAAAAAATCAACCAATCAATATAAAACATAATGTCAGTTTGCATCTAGCACTTGTTATACATGTTTAAATAAACAGGCATTGTGCTTCTTATCGCATTGTGAAAAGTATTTCCAAGGCGACCAATATTTTATTGGACCCAACGGAACCAGGTATGTATATAGTCAAATTTTATGCTTCCGAATTCTTAATTTTTGGAAAATGTTTGTGTTTAAATAGAATTAAATATTTAAATAAAAAACGAGGATTTTCGACATTTTCTAAAATCGCGTTTAGACTCGACTAACGAGAATAAAAATACGAATTCATATTGCTATTTGGAAGAGTTTTTAAACTAATAAGAGCTTCTACTCATAACTTTTAAAAGCTTCCGCAAACTTAGACGATAAGAACAGGTTTTGTGCTTGTTCAAATACGCAAGAGGTGACACTGCTATATACAATATGTGAATAACTATAATAATAATAATAATAATAATAATAATAATAATAAGAAGAAGAAGAAGAAGAAGAAGAAGAAGACAAAATGATAAGTCAGTTATGTATCCACAATTCATCAGTGAACTGAATAGGGTATAAAATATGAAGATGATAACAGAGCCAGTGGCAGTTGGAAGAGTGGAGCAATCCCGAAAACCCTGGCGAAATCTCTCGAGGAATTCGAAATGCAAGTACCAATCGAATCCATCCAACAGTCTAGGAAATAGAACTACAGAAAACTGAGGAAGGTGCTGAAGTCGCGTGGAAAAGATTTAACTATTAGTTGTTTAGAATAATAATAATAATAATAATAATAATAATAATAATAATAAGAAGAAGACGAAGAAGAAGAAGGAAAAGAAAAAGAAGAAAAGGAAGAAGAAAAAGAAGAAGAAAAAGAACAAAAGGTTGATGATGAGAAGAAGAGGAAGAAGAAAAAGCAGAAAAATAAAAAAAAAGATGGTAAAGCGAGGTAGACTGTTCTCGTTCCACGTGCCATGTCTAATGGATGTCAGTTATCAGTTATCTCCTGCTAATTACCTTCTCGAAGTACTCCACCGCCTTAACCAGGTATTGAACTCCCACTCTTTGTGTCCTGTCATTGGATCTAATTAACGCCTTTATCCACTGTGTCCATTAAGCGAAATAAAGGGTTCAGTTCGTCATTCCAATCACCTGAAGAAGGCCGGCGCGTACAACGACCAAAACGTTGTGATAAGTATGGCAACAAAAATAAGGATGATAGTCCGAGCAATGTAAATAGTGTACATAATACATTATCGCAGAAATATAGACAGATCTTGAAGCGAGAAGTCGTAGAAGAGTACTCAAAATGCTAAAGTAAAGCAAAGAAAGAACAAGAAAAGATGAAAGCGGACGAAGAAGAAGTAGAAGAAGATGATGAAGAAGAAGAAGAAGAAATAGGAGAAGGTTATACTTCTACTGATAACAAAAACTTACCAGAAAAGCTAAATAAAGAAGGAAGAGGAGGAAGAGAAGGAAGACACAAAGAATTACGGATGTGTAAGACGTGAAAAAGGGATATCGACAGTTTAAAAAGAATGAAAAGAAGGACCTAGTTCAAATCACATTACTGTTGAGCAATAAAAAGGAAAGCAAATCGCAAACAGGAAGAAGAAAAAAAACGTCGTAACAATCGAGACAAAGTTAAGGATGAAAAAAAAATTGTGATGATGATTACGATAATAATATTGCGTAGGCGTAAAAAGAAGGACAAGCAAGGGGAAGAGAAGACTAAGAAAAAAAATGGCGATAAAGAAAAAAGTACTGATGAATAAGAGATGAAAAAAAATAAGGAAAAAGAAAGATAAATATTAAAGAGAAGTGAGAAAGACGGAAGGAGGATGAGGAGGAGGAGAAGCATCTGTAGACCAATATGTATGTGTGTGAGAGGTGAGAAGTCAGTCTTGTGCTAATCAGATGGTAACTAAAGGTATTATAAATGCGCGCTAACCTCATTAGGGCTTTGTTGGATAGAATTGGCGCGGAGATATTTAAGCTTTCATTCGATTAGCAATTGCAAGGAACAAGCGGCAGGCGAAGAAAGACGGCAAGGCAACGCCATCCACTTCTGACACCATCGACGCTAAACAGACCTGCGAAAACAGCGCGTCAACCTCCGCCATTTTAAAGCTAAAGAATTCACCAAGAGTGAGAAAGGATGCGTGTGTTTGTGCGTGTGTGTAAATGTTTATGTGTGCTCACACACATATGCATAAACACACGCATATATACATACACACACACTTATATATTTATGTCTATACACGAATTTAATATGTACGGATGTGTGTTCTTGTGTGTATGTATAAGGTTATAGATGCATATGTATGTATGGTTGTACTGCTATGATTCGCAAATGTATGTACGTGAGTCTGTTTGTGTGTATGAGTCTTAGTTCGTCTGCTTGCGTTTTAACATTTACGACGTGTTGAAAAGAACTCGACTCGAACAAGAAGACATTGTAAAATAAATTCTGGCATTAGTCCGATTTTAGGAATTCAGTCAAGTATTTGAACAATTCCTCATAAAATTCTAACTTTATAATACAAATATAAATAGATAATATCAAAATATAATCTGTGACTCATTGAAAGGAAAGACGTAAAATTCTATAATGTATTGTTATAAAGTTGAAACAACCAATTTTCACCACAGGAGACGGCATCATAAAGTGTGTATTATATTTTTATAAGCGTAAATAATAATAATAATAATAATAATAATAATAATAAAATGTGGCACATGGGAATATAATCAATCCCTGTTGTATTTGGAGCCCTAGGATTGGTTGGAAAATATTCCAGTAGAGTAATTGAAGGGATTCCTGGAAGTCCATGCCTCAAAGAGATGCAAAAAATTGTTCTGACAAGTACAGCCCACACTTTACGAAAGTGTCATGATGCCATTTCTAACCTTAGGTCCCTGGGCGGGACCCGGAAAGAAATGTGTAAACGCCAGAAATCAAAGGAAATAATAATAATAATAATAATAATAATAATGTGTATAAATATTTGATTCTTTTCTGGTTCGGTCTATTTCAGTGTAACCGTTTTACATATGACGTCCCTTTGATTTAATTTCAATTGTAGCGTTCTTCCCCAAATACTAGGATTTAATCAATAAAATCGTGTTTGATACACTAACAACACGGTTTTTGATAATGCCAAAAATGGTCAAAATTACTAGAATAAAATCGTAACAAAGTTTTGCGACCTTCTTGTCACCAGTCCAAGAAAAACATTTGAATCACTACCACGCCAAAAATTCACTTCTATAATATGTGGACATATCGACTCTTTGCTTGAAGAAAGTCTGGAAACCAGAAACACGTGTAGCAGAATTATGGAAAATAGAGTATAATATATAATTTAAGATAAAAAAATCCACGTTTCAAACAAAAATATTTGCGCGTTATCTTCTTTTTTAATATATATATATATATATATATATATATATATATATATATATATATATATATATATATATATATATATATATATATATATATATTGTGTATTTAGGCAGCAGTTTTCATTCATACATGTTTCATTAAATAATATGGAAAGCGTTGTCTATTTATTTTATGTAAATTCTTTTCATAACGTCTCATAAGCTTAATAACATTATCATTAAACGAAGAAAGAATGTGTCCGTGTATTGCTTAATATATTGTACTGTAATTGTCATCTTTGATAATGGCTTATATAAGCCGGAAACTTAGATTGGATTAAAAAAATATGTATCAATATTGTGATTTTCTTTCTTCGTTTAATGATAATGTTATTAAGCTTATCAGACGTCATGAAAAGAATTTACATAAAATAAATCGACAACACTTGTCTATATTATTTAATGAAACATTTATGAATATATATATATGATATATATATATATATATATATATATATATATATATATATATATATATGGTATAAAATGACAATTGGAAAAAATCTTAGATTTTGTCGACGCGTTTCGTCTTTCGAATTTTTCAAGGCAAAAATGAAATCGAAATGTTTTTTTGTTATAGATACATTAAAAAAATCCAAATTTAAAAAGATAGACGCTTCTGTCTACGCCTTTTTTCTGATTAATGCAAATTACCTTTATAGTAAGGGATTTTTTCCCCATATCGACAATATAGTTAAATTCCCAGATCAATTCTGTGGACAAGACAGATTGGTATAAAATGACAATTGGAAAAAAAAAAATCTTAGATTTTTGTTCCAATTGTCATTTTACCAATCTGTCTTGTCCACAGAATTGATCTGGGAATTTAACTATATATATATATATATATATATATATATATATATATATATATATATATATATATAAACAAATCTATTCAGTTGACAATCTACAAACTGCCAATTCATTTCACATATAGATGAATATATGGCAGATAAAGAAAATATTTACATTAATTGACAACATCAAACATTAATACAGGACACAGTGCCAAGAAAGACTCCAAATTCTGGAGGCTGTAGTAATAAAAGAGAAGCAGACGACATTAAATAAGTTGTCTTTCTGCATAGGCAGCTGTATATTGAAGCGTGTTTAAACGCAAACACACACACACACACACACACACACACACACACAAAATGTTCAGCCTTACCGTTTATATGACGTCATCTTGTGCGCGTGAGAATCGATTCCATCAAACGGTTGAAATCGATTCCATCAAACACGAGAACGTCGGAATGAAAACTCCACGTAGAACAATCCTTGAAAAGCGAACGAAGTATTATGCGAAAGTATTAAAGAAGAAAAAATAATAAAAAATAAAATTTAATATCAATTTTGGCAAATTTACCGATA